TTGATTTTCTCTTCAACTTTATCAAATGTTTTAGACTTCTTCAAATTTCTCATTATTCTTTTTAGAAGTTTCTTCCATCATTTGAGAAACATTTTCAAATTTCTCGTCGAATCTTCTAGACACATTTTCGAGTTTCTCGTCGTTTTGTCTGCCTACTTCTTTAATAATTTGAGACGTTTCATCCAATCTTTTGGAAACATTCTCGAATTTATCATCATTTTTTTTAGAAGTCTCCTCAATCATTTGCGAGACGTTCTCAAATTTCTCATTTATTTTTGTTAAAACTGTTTCTTCTGATGATTGAAACTGGAATGTCTCTGGGTCATCTCCATTCTTGTTAAGAATATTCTTCAGTCGCTCTTGGAGGATCTTCTTGGACCCGCTGCAGTCTTCATCGCGTTCTTCTAATTGCTCACGCAACTGTTTTACCGAGAGTTGTACTAGCAGCATCTTTGTACAGGCACACACGTACTTTTATAAATGTTCTTTTGTACAAAGGTCACTACCGAACTACGCGGATGTTCCCGACGAACAATACTTTTCAAAAGTTTTAAAGTCTTTTTCAAAAGTCACTGCTGGATTTATGTTGAAATCCCACTTCTGACACCAAATGTTGTATATTTATATAGTTCTAATTTATTTGTCTTTATTCTAATTTATTGTCTATATTCTAATTTATTAAAACTCACGATAACTAATTACGAATTTATTAAAGTCTTTATTAATCCTAATTTATATTACAAATAATAATTTATTTACGTTTCGTTACAAGTAAACCGCGTTCCCCGATCTTCTTATGACTAAGTTCTTCAATAAAATTTCATCTTTATATATAAAGAAGCTTCCGCTATCTGGAAAGTTCGGTGACCTACTTTTGCAAAGAACACCATGGAATATACTGGTCTTTTCGGTGAAGGCAATTAACCGCTGAGACTAGTTCTTTTTCAACTTCGAGTCGTGGATGACTCACTAAAATTAGGGTCTAGATATTTCTGTAAACAACTGGTATCGAAGCTCAGGTAGATTTTGACCTACAAATTACGAGAATCAATAAAAAAAAGGATTAGTCATAAAATATTTACAGTTCTATATGCCATAACATTTAAAATCGTAACATTATGCTGAAAAAATGTCTAACATAACAGTCGCCGCTGACTTCCTTTTTTAAATATTAATTGAAATTTTATTAACCGGATGGATAATGTTTTCAGACACCCCTCTACCTTTACGAAAACCTGTTGTACAGGCGATAGCATCAGATGATATTCTACATACCAATCTTACCTTATTTTTATCATGTTCTCTAAAAGTTTACTGGCGCATGAGGATAGAGCAATTGGTCTCCAACCTGAAAGACAATTTATATTTTTGTTGGATTTAGGGATTAAAAAATTGTTTGCGATTTTCATTGTGTTGGAATGTTTTTTTCCTTTAAGACATAAATTGAAAAAAATTAACAGAAAATTGATTGCTGACTATGGAAGATGTTGCAACATAGAAAATGTTATACTATCCTGACCCGGAAGAGTATCTCTTCTTTCAAATAAAACCAATGAAATCTCGTTTAAAGAAAACGGTTCACACTCGAGAGTAATTAACATTAAAATATGATACATACAAGTCCCCTGGCTTTGTCTCGCTATAACGACATGCGAAAAGTCAATTAAAATTGGAACAAGTGAACATATCTTGTTGTTATAGTATCATGACTATATATTATACGTCATTGTCAAATCTGTCTGTACGAAAAATATGTCGGCTGATGAAAAGTCCTATGGTTACCGATTTTACCGTGTCAGCATATTCCATATCTACTGACGAGTTAGACGAGTCGTCAAATTTTATTTTTCTCTTAGTCTTTTTCCTTTGCCTTTATCGAGAGTGAATTTCCTATTTTTTTGCTGAAAATTAAAGTCTTTGCTTCTATTTCTTTTCCAATTTTCTTCTGTTCTGCTATATCCCTTTGGAGCTCCCTTTCTTCTAAAATCTTTACTATTGGTATACTGGAAATAACGAGAGATGGTAATTTCTTTCTGGGTCGTTTTGCTCTCACTTCAGCAACAAGTAATTTAGGCAGACCATTATTCAATATATGATTTGATACATGAGGGGGTGTCCGACCAGCTATTCCTGATGTAGATGGAACAGGCATATTTGGAATAGAAATATCTAAAATTTCGTCAGATATTTCAACAGATTCTTGAGGTACTGTTTCTTTTAAAACAGATATCGGTGACATTTCTTAAATATCTGGCATTTCCTCTTCGATCTTTATATTTTCCAAAGCAGAGGTAGTTGCCAAACTATGCCTCAAAATCAAGTATATCAAACACCTGGCTATCAACAGGATATATGCCAGTGGCTCTAAAACCACCAAGAGTATTTAAAACAGTTGCTGCTGTTAAGTACGCTTTCCCAAATAGGGTTGCAATGTCATACAATGTTATAAGATGACCCGGATTACTGATCAAAAAATCTTCGCAAGCTCGTGAGTATGCTGCAAAAGGATTGTGCAAAGTCTTTACCAACCATTTTCTTTGTAGTGTTTTGTATGACACTTTGTACCCACAAGTGTCATCTTTCTTTCTAAAAATCGTAAAGTCAAATTTATTATTCATAACAAATATTTTCTGTAAGTAATTTATACGTAAAAGATATTAGTTTCGAACAAAAAATACAACAGTTATCCAATACTTACCAAAAACCTTTAAAACCTTATTTTCGAAAACAATAATATTGTTAGCACTAACACAATATCAGTACCAATACTTGTATCATAACTAAACTCTGGCCGCTAACGTATTTGCATAGAGAAATAACAAATAATTATTGTTATTTCTCTATGGTATTTGTAGTCAAAGGCGAGAAACCTTAGAATATTTGTTCGGTCCTGACTGAAGACAGTGTTGCCAGAGTTGTACGTTGGAAAAATATCCGGAATTCGTCACCTTACCCGATTCGTCATCTTACCCCACTTTACCCTACATTTCCTAAGAAGTTTATTGCGGGCGACCGTTAAAAGGGTATTTATTTATAACCACGGCCAGGTCAAAAATGTAAAAGAATTTCTATTATATACTGTAATTTAATTAATACTATTAATTTTTTATATCATTTTAATCAATTTTATTGTATATGCATTTGATTATTATCTTTAATTTAACTAAAATCTATACTATTAATTTTTTATATCACTTTAATCAACATTTGTATAATATTATGTGAGAGTATGAAAAAACTGGAGACTTGGCAACTCTGACACCATTTAAGCGTATGTTAAATGTCATATAAAAGCTTGGTTAGGTTAGAGTGCCCGTATGCGTAACGCCCCTAAAATATTTTTTTAAGGGTACAAAAACAATTTTTTTAAATCTAAATTCAACTAAATTACAACTAATGATTTAATTAATAATTTACTTTAAAGTAACCAAACCATGCATAGTAATTATTTTAAATTAAATGTTAGAAATGCCATCCATCGGTTTGTTGACAATATGCGAATCTACGGACACATTCATCAAGTAATGTAATTAGACTCATTTCATGCCAAATTCTATCTTTCAAGTCCTATAAGTTCTGGGGTCTATTGACATAAACTTTTGATTTTATGTAACCCCACAGAAAAAAGTCTAGAGGTGTTAGATCTGGCGACCTCGCTGGCCACTCTATAAAACCTCGTCTTCCGATCCACCTCCTGTTGAAACCAGATATTTTCACTAGGTAAATTTGGATTATTGGCATTTGGATACATGTTAGCAAGGACAGTTATCAGTTGATGTATAAAACACATGTATAAAAAATGAAATGTGGATTGGGGATACATAAATCCTGCATAATTTCAGAAATTTGAAGCCGGCGATCGGAATCTTCGTCGTTTAATTCCTGATGTAGTTGAATTTTGTAGGTATGGTATTTTTCTTTTTTTTTAATACGTAATACCGATCGTTGGAAAACTCCAGCATATTCACCCATTTGTGTTGAACTACTGTAAGGATTGTCATGTACATTTTTTAATAAAATATCAAGTTTCACATTGTCTTCAATTTTAGGACGCCCAGCGTTTGGAATATGTTTAACGTGCCCAGTTTCTATAAATTTTCGGACTATTTTACTTACTGTTGATTGGTTGATGGGTCTGTCTGGATATTTTGCGTTGAATAAATTGCATACCTCGTTCTGTGTTCTTTTTTATCTCCGCATCCTCTAAGAATTAATATTTCTATGCGTTGTGTTTCATTTAGGTGAGCCATAATTTAGTAAACAAAAGTAAAAATTACAACTGGCAACTGATAACAATTCACCAAATCAAAACCTTTACGTCAATAAATATTACAGTAACTACGCCACTATTACTTGCTTGAATTAACATTTGACGTTTCAGTGTTTATGAGATAACTTTTTGTGTCCATTATTATTTTTACTTATTTTTGCTTTTTTATGTATTTACTTCAGAAAGTCATGGCAGGAACCGATGGATAGCATTTCGAACATTAAATTTAAAATAATTGTTATTAATAATTTGGTTACTTTAATACATTATGAATTAAATCATTAGTTGTAATTTAGTTGAATTTAAATTAAAAGAAATGGTTTTTGTGCCATTAAAAAAATATTTTAGTTAAAAATGTAATGTCGTTCAATAGAGAATTAAATTCTCCTTCAAATTAGGTGTCGCATTATACCGATTTCTATTTAAAAAAAATTAACGATTACGTCATTACACCCATACCGTTGATGTTATCCCTACTCCATGTACGTTATAAGATGGGTATTTTATACGTCCATGGTATTTTATAATAAAAATCGACCTGTTTTGGGATTTCCCTCAAAACTCTACGGTTCTCGAAATAATGATAATATTCCGTAATGTAGCCGTTCACTGTATAAATACTTACCGCTATATCATTAAAAATTTATTAATCGGATATAATCTTTTAGAAGTAGATAATAAAAAAATTATCAAGTGAATTCAAGGTAAGTACAAGGTGTAAGATAATATTAATCTTGTTTGTTCTGTTATAGGGCAGGTGTCCATATTATGTTACAGGGTTGATTGTTAGTGTTTCAAACAATTTTTCGTTCGATTTGATTTATTGGTAAATTTTTTAGACTTAAATTAGCTTGTTTGCATCGAAATAAAGTTCGGAGATGTATACCTAAAGTCTCAGCCATTAAATCTCTCTAAAAGTGTACTGTTTCTATTTTAGAAAACTAATCACTGACAGTTATTCATTTATATATACGCTTGTTTTGGTAAACATTTTGATTAAATTAATTTGCCAAAATTTCTTTCAGATGGCTAGGGCCCCAGCTATAGGTATTGATTTAGGAACAACCTACTCCCGTGTAGGAGTTTTCCAACATGGCAAAGTTGAAATTATTGCCAACGATCAAGGTAATAGAACTACACCATCATATGTTGCCTTCACAGACGCAGAATGTCTCATTGGAGATGCTGCCAAAAACCAGGTAGCCATAAACCCTAATAACACAATATTTGGTAAGTTTATGATCTTTACCAAGATTAGCTTATTATCTAAACTTTGAAACAAGTCACAAAATTGTAAGTGAGAACAGAGTCTAATTTATGCTTTTGCCTGTATAGATGCTAAACGTCTTATTGGACGTCGCTTTGATGACAGTTCTGTACAGTCTAACATGAAGCACTGGCCATTTGAAGTAGTAAATTATGCCGATACACCACAATTTAAAGTTACCTACAAGGGCGAAGAGAAATCCTTCTATCCAGAAGAAGTCATTGCCATGGTCCTTACAAAAATGAAGGAAATAGCAGAAGCATACCTAGGGAAGAAAGTCAGCAATGCTGTCATCACAGTACCTGCTTGTTTCAATGAGTCACAACGTCAAGGTATTAAATGGGCTGCAACCATTGCTGGACTTCAGGTAACTATGTTAATGTTTGTAATTGTTCAGTTCCTGCAGATTCTATTTGATGATATTCAATAAGCTTGTCAGATTAGAGTTTATGAACTACTTCTTGTTCTTAACGTGCCCCATTCCAAAGGACATTGGCGATCATCATGGCTCATTTGACTCTATCTGCAGCCGTTCTGAAAAGTTCTATTGACGTTTTCCCACTCCAATGTTTCAGATTCTTCAACCAGGACGTGCGTCTTCTCCCCAGTCCTCTTTTGCCTTCCACCTTCCCTTGTATGACCAGCTGCATCAATTTGTATTTCTCGTTTCTTAGTAGGTGACTAAAGTAGATCATTTTTCTTTTCTTTATAGTGTTGAGTATTTCTTTATCTTTTTTCTTTCTTCGTAGCGTTTCCGCATTTGTTATCTGTTGTGTCCAAGATATTTTCCACATTTCAAAGTTATTGAATCTTTTCTCTGTCGCCTCTGTAATTGTCCAGGTCTTAACTCCATACAACAGGACATAGAACACGTAGCATCTCAATATTCTAGTTCTAATTTCAATGTTGAGTTTTCCATTGCATAATATTGCTTTCATCTTATTAAAAGCACTTCTAGCTATTTCAATACGCCGGTGTATTTCCGTACTTCTATCCCATTCTTCATGTAGTTCGCAACCTAAGTACTGATATCTGTGCACCCTGTCCAAAAGTTTTCCTTTAGCATAAACCCCTGCTTCCTCAATCTTGTTCTTACTTACCACCATGATTTTTATTTTATTTGTATGCAGTGCATTTCCATACCTTTCATAGTATTGGGTAATGCGATTAACCAAGATCTGTAGTCCTTATCTGCTGTCTGCAAGGAGTATTGTGTCATCTGCGTATCTAATATTATTCAGAAGTACTTCGTTAATAAATATGCCTTCATTTGCGTCTTCTAATCCCTCTTTAAACAATTCTTCTGAATAGATATTAAAAAGAAAAGGGGAATTTCTTTCGATTTTTGTTGGTCTATTCGTATTATGGCTTTCTGATATCGGTATAGATTGCCAATGATTCTCACGTCTTCGTCATTTAATTCTGTGTTCTGCAGTATTTTTGCCATTCTTCGGTGTTGTACTTTGTCGAAAGCTTTTTCAAAGTCGACTAGACACGCATGAATACGTCGCAATTGACATCTCGACATCGTTCGATTAGTGTTTGTACAGTAAATAATGGTGCCAAAGCCTTTTCTGAATCCCAATTGGTTTTCAGCTTTTCTATCATTTAGCTTTTTATAGATACGTTCGTGTATCACTCGTAAGAACACTTATAGAATATGGTTCATCAAGCTAATTGTCCTGTGCTCTTTACACTTCATTGCGTTCAATTTTTTGGGTATTGGAATGAATATTGATATTCACCATTCTTTCGGAATCTCTCCCGTACAATAAATGTCATTAAATAATACTATTAGTGTACCCATACGATCTTTTGTTAATATTCTTAAGATTTCTGTAGGTATTTCATCTGGTCCCATGGCCTTCAAATTTTTTTATACGTTTTAGCGCTTTCTCAATTTCGTCTTTAGTGATTGGTGGCCCATTTCTTCCTCTTGGTTCAATGACCTCAATTTTCTCGTCTTCTTCGAATATCGTCGTCGTCTTTTATATATTCTTCCCATCTGTTTACTTTATCTGTATATTCCGTTAATATCTCGACATTTTTATCCATGATATTTCCTATACCCTTCTTCTTGTATATGCCAGCTTTCTCTTTGATTTTCCGGTGTATGTTAAAACTGTCATATTGTTTATCTAACCTTTCTATTTCTTCACACTTTTCTGATAGCCACAGTTACTTAGCTTCTTTGATTTCCTGCTTTATTACTTTATTACTTATTTTTGTACTACTGTTCGTTTTTATTCTTGTGTGCCATTCTTTCCGTCATCAATTCATTTATCTCTTGTGTGATCCATTGTTTATTTTTAGATGATGTGTCTTCTTAAAGTTTTTGTTTGTGATATTTCTCAATATCTCCTCTATTTTCCTCCATTTATCTGTTGCGGTCAATTGCTTCTGCCTTTCTGAACTTCTTTGTGCACTTGTTCATTGATTTTTTGGTATATATCAATTTTTTTAGTTTTCTCAGATTGATTTTCAGTGTTTTGGGAGTTGTTTTTAACTTTTTGAACTTGAGTTTCATGTTTGCTAGAACTAGATTGTGGTACGCTTTAGCCGATATTATGGCATTTCGGAATCTTTGAATTATTATGTAATCTATTTGATTTCTTTTTTCTCTAGGTGCTTTTCATGTATATAAACTGGGGTGCAAAATTAACCGGACACTTACATTTTTTTGTTTTTTGTTGGTGTTTAGATCAAAACTTGTTTAATTTGATTGAATTGTATTTTATGCCATATTAGCGATAACATTTTTTTCTCGTTTGAACCTGTTTAGATGTTTTGTGCGAACAACAACACTTTTATACATGCGTTTTGTTATTAATGTGAAATAATGGATTATTAATATTTAAGTTTATTGTGGTACTGTGCCTGATTATAAGTTAGACCGTAGGTTTTTGTATTTTCTCCTGTTTAAAACTTATATTAAAAAAATTATTACACCAGAAGAAGAAGCACCAGCTGTTGCTTTACAGGATGATGGGCGGATCATTCGTTACGTCGCAAATGCTTTAGGAATTTCTCGAAGGACAGTGTTTGATGCAATACAAAGATTTCGGGAAACAGGACAATACACCAGGAGGTCAGGTCAAGGTAGACGAAGAACCATAAGTCAAGTTGAAGATCGCTTTCTTAAGTTACAAGCGTTACGTGATCGTGCATTATCAGCACCAGTTTTTGTTCAACGATTAAATCATGTCCATAGAAACACAGTTTTCGTTTAAACCGTTTGAAGACCCTTTAATGAACACGAATGAAGGTCCAAAATACCTGTCAAGGGACCTCTATTAACAGCAGATCATCGGAGACAACGTTTACACTTCGCTCGCGAACCTCTTAATTTGGGTGTTGACGATTGGAGTGCTGTGCTTTTCGCGGATTAATCAAGATTAACAGATACTCATCATATGGACGGCCTAGAATATGGAGAAGAGCTGGTGAACCTTACCAACAATGTTGTCTTACTCCCAGAGTTCAATTCGTTGTAGGTGTTATAATGGTGTGGGCAGGCATTTCCCTAGAGGCTTATACAGAACTTGTTACAATTCCAGGGGGCAATTTGAACGCTCAACGGTATATTCAGCATTGTTTGAAAGATAATGTAGTGACATTTGCCCCAGTAGTTGGAGAAAACTTTCGTCTGAGGTAAGATAATGCTCGTCCACACATCGTAAGAATTATACGGGATTACTTTGATTAAGTTGGGATTCGTTTATTACCATGGCCTCCAAGGAGTGCAGACTTAAATCCAATAGAGCATGCATGGGATATTCTGGAACGACATATTCGACATAACCATGGTGAGTTTGAAACCATTAATGATTTGGAACAAGCAGTTCGTGACGAATGGGAGCAAATTCCTCAAGACTCAGATTTTGCTGCCTTAATCCGAAGTATACCTGATCGAATGAGAGCCGTAATTATTGATTGTGGATCATAAAGGGTAATACACTCGACTAAATATCGTTTTCCATAAAAAATGTTCATATATTTAAAAAAATATTAATTTTTTTCTTTGCAGATTTTCGAAATTTTTGAATTGTTTATTGTTTTTTCCGTGTAACGTTCTTAAGTTGTGATAAATTTGACTTTTAAATTTTGTTTTTTATTAAATACTCAATTGGGAACATCTTAAATTTTTTTTATACGCTAGTTTTTAAGAAACATTTGGGTGTCCGGTTAATTTTGCACTGCAGTGTATTTGTCGATTTGAAGTCCTTAAAATCAAATTTACTTCTTTTTTTTAGTTTCATTGAATGTTTTGTTTAAGTCATTGTAGAAGCTGTTTTTTTCTTCCTCTGTGTTATCAGATGTTGGTTCATAAACTACAATGATATCTATGTTGTTAATTTTAATAGTGCAATTCTATCCGTTATCGGTATGTACCCTTTGACTGATTTTTCGATTTCTTTGCTGACGACTATTGCTACTCCATTGCGGTTTTGTGTGTTGTTATCTCCAGAATAGTAAAACACGTAGTTCTCTGAGACACTTCTGCCGCTGTTAGGCCATCGGACTTCACTACATCCAAGGATATCTATCTTTAAGCGTATCATTTCTTGTGTTAGATTATGGGCTTTTCATTTTGGTACAAACTCCGTACGTTCCAAGTGCCTATTTTTTCAGTGTATTTAGTTGGGTGGCTGGTCTTGTAGTGTTTTTCTTAATACATCACTGGGATTTTGCTTGTTGATGACCTGAGAGGCCCTGTGGTCTTTTAGGTTTATTACTCTCCTGCCGGATCTCGGTTTCCGATTTTCGTGATCAGTAATGTCTACTGGTTGTGTTACCATTGCGATAATTGCCATGATGAATGTTCTAGGTATATCCTTAAAGATCTTTAATGTGATAGTCATCCCGTGGTTTTCCACATCCTTATGCCGTTGGTTACTTATTTGTAACTCCTCCGCCTTGGGGGTCAATCTCTTAGCCCCAGAACAAGAGAGTTACGCGTCCGCCCGAAGCCGTTAGTCAATAAGTAGATGATTGCTTACGCCGGCAATCATTCCGTTCATCGGTAACCCTAGATAAGGGTGCTATCAGCCGACCCAGCTGAACCCCGGTTTTTTATAGAGGTGTTACTCCTCTCCCCTTCTCTTTTATCCTGGCTTGGGACCGACTCCCAAGTGTAGAGCTACTCAGTTCACCCCACACTTTTCACAGGCAGAGTTTTACTTTGCTGTACATACTCAACTACTTACTATGATTTGCTAATTATTTGAAAATGTATAGTATCTATGATAGATCACCAGACTTAGGCAAATATGGACAGAACATATTTTGCATATTTTATGCAACTAGTATACTTTTTGCATATTTCATCTAATATTCGATTCATATAAATTGAAGTAAAAACAATAT